GATGGCGCAATTTGTTCTAAAAATAGAATTATTGTCCCATATCATGGGGACAACCCCAATACTTGAAATGGCGCGCGCTTACGGTCTCCGTCCCCCGATTATGGCTCCTGCTCATATCCAACAAGCGCGAGTGGAATAATTTTTTATTAAAAACTCCCCCAAAATATAGAAAACTAGTCTAAAATAAAAGTAAAGACGTCCCAAAAAATCACGCTTACGCTACCATATTTGTAGAGCATGGTATAATGGCTCATAACCCATGATGGCTCAGCCAATGAAAACTCTTACATTGCATTATCCATATCCAATGATCCAGTTTTTAAAACTGCAGGATATTAGGACAGTAGACACGGCTTCTGGTTGATTAATTGATTGATTCTGACACGGCTCCTAATTGGCTGATTGGTCGAACCAGGGCGTGTTACAAAACAAGAAATGGCGAAATGGCGATATTGCACTACGTACGGTTAGCCTAAATATCCCTGACTCGAAAGTGGTTAGCTCTCAATAATTGTAAGGGTTATCCCTAACAGACACCCGTATCCCACACTGACCCTTACTCACATGGCCATTTCGCCATTCCGTGTTTTAAACACGCCCGTCGAGCCAAAATACCAATTTCAAGACCAAACGAGCCTGATATGTAAGGCGTTCCAGTTATGTAGCGCACGCCAGCGTTTAGTTTTGCTGCAAAGGTTTTGACACCTTTAAAGCTCTGTAAACAATTTTTCATTTTAGGCTCAGCATACCATTTTTAAACCTCTTTAATTTGACCCGGCAATGAAAGTTACCATGATATCGTAGTCATATCAGGCCAGTGACTTCGCATATTATCAGAACAATAGACACGGTTTCTGATTGGCTAATTGCAAAGTTGGGTGCTGCAAGTGAATGTAACACTTGTTTGGAGAGGCAACCATCACATTCAGTTTTCAATTGTTTAATTCAATGCTGTAAAGGTTTTAAGCGACAGAGGCAGAGCTAGTGGACAAACTATCAAACAGTTTGTACTTATTTGTCTTTCTGCTCCAATGCAGGTCATCCTGAGGTGCAGCTTCATGTGCTTTTTACAACAGCAAGTCAATTGTTGCTGAAGTGGACCGTGATGTCGCGTGGAAGCAGTTTGATTCAGGGCTATGTAATCCGTTACAGCTTGAGTGCTGGCTCTCCATGGATAAAACAACTCAGGATCTCACCATCGGTGACATTCTATCTAATGAGAGACTTGAAGTCTTCTACAACATACTACGTTGAGTTGCAGGCCATAAATAAATATTTCACGAGTGAACCGTCTGTGGTCGAGGTCACCACACAAGAGAGCGGTAGGTTTGCCATTTGTTATAAACTTCACGTAGTGTATTGTCTTCACGTGCGCTATACGGTTATTGAAATCAACTCTGAAATTGGGTTTTTGGGTTTGTAAACAGTTGCAGCATATCGCTGTGTGGCCGTACATTTGGTGCCCACAAATTATTTCACTTATTTCATGGCTGGATTACTCTTTGAAAAGTCCAACGGATTTATACTACAACCGGATATTCGGTTAAATATACAGAAGTTGTGGCGTTTATACGCATAACAATACCCAAATGTACGAACTCCATGGAGTGGGCAGCTTTCACTGAATTGAATAGTACGGTCAGTTACATTCACCGTTTAATAGAACCCAGCTTGTCAGAATAGTAAGAAAATCTATGTGAAAGCAATGCTCTTGTGCATAACGAACTGGCAACATCTGACAGGCACTCAGTAGCTTTAATTTGCCAATTCGCCTAAATGGTTTGGTCATGTTTGAACTTTGATCATGTTGTCTAGGCGCACGCGCGCGTATGCACGCTGACGCCAGAAACTAAAAATTTTGTGCAACAACAGTGCACAGTGCAGTTTAATGGAATACCTTGAATTGGTTCTTTCGATATCTGCAGTAAAATCAGTATTTCATTGCGATGAAAAGAAACATCGAGGAATAGTTACTTTACTATTATTATTTCAGAACGGCCAATAGATCAACGAAACATTTTTACGATCTTTTCAGTTTCTTTTTGTTTCCAAAATAAGCCTAGCTAAGCCTTGATCTTGTTGTCTTCATAGCCCTTAGAAGTTTCGATGCATCTGTATTAAGGGATCACTATTTGTTTATCTTCTCAGTGAAACCCATTGCTTGGCACGTTCTGATTGGTATACCGAGAACAGCTTCACAAATATATTCGCATTAACAAAATACACCAGTAGGTAAAATTATCAATAAATTACTGTAGTGTACTGTTAACTGAATTTCAGTCTATTATTAAAGATGAAAGTTTGTTTCAACTGCTGTTTCATCTACTGCTTCGTCTCAATCCGTGCGGAGCAAGTTTATGTTGGCATATGATGCCGTTATTTACGACATTTATCAAACCCGAGATAGACAAAACAACGTTATTGTTGTTCTATTTGGCGTTTGGACACCTTGTATATGCGTACGCCTATAATTTGAAAGTTAAGATAGTTTTTAAATTAGTGAAATACCGAAAATCCTGGACTTTTTTAAAATCCGGAAGAGAGAGCTGACACCCTGATTCTCTTCCCCATGTCCATTACTGCTGCAGAAATTATATATCTTAAATAGCACAAGCGTCGGGTAGGTACAACACTATATGTTGATGACCCCCGTTGTTTAGCATAAACCGTTTCAAACCAATAGTTTTCTAATTTTCGAATATGATAATTTTTAAGTGTTATATGAATAGTTGAGAAGAGAAAACTAAGGATATTGATCTCAAGATCACTACATATTATCAAATCATTCATAAGAGAGTCCGAGGCTACAAATCGGAAAATTGTTCATTAAGCATTTATTACTTAATTATGGTCAACTGTTAAATGGTGAACTTAAGTTTCTAAGATAACGTCTCTACTCAGTGGAGCCAGATCCCTAATCAACAAACAGTTTCTTTACCAAAGCCGCACTAATCGTGAAAGGCTGCCATCGGAAGTGACATTTTGCGAAGCTGCAAACAAAGTCTTTTTAATAATAATTAATTGGATTGACTGTATTTTTTTTAAGACCAAGACGCTGAGCTTCCCAAGTTACCTCTGCCTCTTCCCAAACGTCCTTCAGGATTGGTTTACAATGACGGCCAATCCAGCGCCCCAGTGCACTTGTCTGCATTTCTTGACCTGACTTGTGGTGACTCGCAGCAAGCGTGGCCGATTATCAAGAAACTTGCCAAGTCCTATGGGCCTGAAAAACTTCGTTTGACCGTCCACTTCTTCGCCCTCGCGTATTTCTACCACGCCTTTATTTGTTTGAAGGTAAGCGTATTAACTTTTTAACCGCTATGACGCGGTGTACACTGTAATAATCATTCAAGTCAAAGTAATGTACCTCAATATAATGGTTTACTAGGGATTAAGAACACCACAGAGGTACGCAGCATTACAGAAGATCCAGATATTATCATTTTCTCATAAATTCATCATTTTCGACCTTCAGGGCTAATTAGTATTCCACGCTAGACAAGACTTTACCGCAAGTCGAACTGCGAAAAGCCGAGCCCGGAAAGCGAAAAATGTCTGCGACGCTCAAAACTTGAAAGCAAAGAGAGCGACAGAGGCGGAAGAGGGCCACGACTACCCGCAACATCGAAGGACTTAAAAAGCCTGTCGATAGACAATGTCACGGGAAAAGGACGAATAGCTCTACACGTCACCAACTTGAGATAAAGAAAACTAATTCTGAATCCCGGATGGAATTCGGACCAATGGCCTCCCAGATACCAGATACCACTGAATTTACGTGTGGGTCCAGAGGAAAATCCCAACTAACACGGCGCTCGTCTGAAGGGGAGAAACATGTTCATTACCATGGAAACCACGTCAATCAGATCCTCGTTTCTTCTGAAGATAACGGGTTTATCATACTACTCTAGTGACTCTCTAGTGACATAAGCATGTTGTTATTCTTTGTAGAGTGTGCACGTAGTGGAGTCTTATAACTCGTCACTGGTGTTTCCGTGGATAGACACAGTTTATAACAACCGAGATTACCTCAAAAACTCAGCAAACACATCTCAAATGCACCGAATGGAGGTCGCAGGGTAAGTGTTGAAGTCTTAAAACCATCATCAGAGTAAGCTTAAAGTAGACCATTTTACAGTTGTCTGCTCAGTGACCTG